GTTGTAAGACGTATCTATTTCTGTTGAAGGGTATGCATCCAAATATAATACCACTTGTGCGTGCCTAGTAAAAGTATTAAAAAAAAAAAAAATGATTTTGACCATTTTGACCACTTCGGATATCTGAAATGATCCATTTCGACTTCATGTATAATATACCCACCTTTTTTTTGACAAATTTTTTCTTTTTTCAGAACTGTACAACTTCAACTTTTGTCTCAGTATTTTTTAAATCGAAAATGTCTAAAAGTATCACCACTGAACCCTTAGTAGAAGAAGTTGAAGAATATAATATGAGAACTCTTATCACTTACTTACAAAATTAACTAATTTTAAATCTCTGTGAACAACATATTAATGTGCTCTGTGAAAATGAAGTCACTGGTTATGACTTTCTAAGATGTAAACAAGAAGATTTGGAATAATATAGACTGAAACTAGGATCAGCAAAAAGAATATCAGACTTCGCCATTTAGTTAAATAGTCAAAGTAAGTTCTATGAAATAGGTTATTTGGAGTGTTATTCAATAGACGTCTTTTTAGTCAGTTATTTTCATAGTATTTATTACTCGTTTCTAGTTTGTTATATACTAAATACTTAATCTTGTGCTTTTCTTTTTTGCTTCTTATCATTAAACTCATCCAAAGAAACACATTCACGTTATCGTAAAAGGTAAGTATCATGATTGCATTTGAATATACCAAACATATGGGGTGAGTGCTGGGAAAAGGGACCAAATCGACAAAAAAATTTTTTTTTAAATAACAAATGATCTGAATCAGATGATCAAATCTATATCTATTTTACTTAGAAACTTTTTTTTTAAAAAAAAAATCAATTTAGTCCATTTTCCCAGCACTCACCCCATATATACTTTTCTCGCTTCATTTCATTTTTTAACTTTTGCTTTCACTTATCATCAGAGTGAAAAAAGATAAAAAAAGAGTATTAGAAAATACAGAGCTAGCTTTGCTCTGCATTGTGTCCATTCTCACTAATATTTTGCTTGATTAGTAGTGAACTTTACGCTGAAGAAAAGGAAATATCTACACAGGTCCTATACATAATGAACTACTTGCATAAACAAAACTTTATTTGCATTTAGTAGGTAAAGTTTTTTCTGGTATCTGGTACCATTATTACATTAGCCTAACTACTGCCTCATTTCTTCTCGAACAGTATGTCATTTGAGGATGTCGAGGTCTCTGAAAGTAAAAATATTTTCTGGAATATATTTGGATCAGCTCTCCAATGTAATGCTATTTAACATCTTAGTATTTTAAGCAATCCTATAATTAAATCTGCCAGCAGTTTTCTCGACACATTTATTAATAGCAATTAGGCATCTAAAAAAATAGTTTTTTTTGACGAATTTAACAAACTGTACAGAGTAAATGAAGAAGTTCTCTTATAATGTCTAGAGATACTTCATAGTATTAGAATGAACAAGGATAATTATGCCATTCAATTCATCATTGCTATTAGTCTATTTAGCATTCTGTATTTAGATGCCCCAGTTAAGAATACATCACCCTTTAATGTTAAAGAGCCATTCATGAACCCAAATTTATACTATAATAAGTATAGACCATATACAAACAGTTTACAGAAGAGTATTATATAACCATTGATGATGATATTATTCAAGACATCTACATACAAACAAATAGGTATGCGAGATATATCAGACTTGATTTACATAAGACCTTAATATATACCAAGATTTATTTTTTCTCAACAGACATGCAGGCATCATCTGCTTATATGAACGTGCGATCCATAGAAGGCTAATAAAAAATTTAGATAGGAGGTATACTTGAGTTACGATAAATGGCAAGCTTTCAGCATTATGTCATTGGGAGAAAAAGTGATAGAATATTCAACTTTCAAGAAGAAAGATGACCTTTTGAAGGATCATTTTAAGCCTACTATAAAGCTCTTTCAGTCTAAATTTTTGACAAGTTTTGAGGCTGTACAGCCTATCAATTCTGATCTGGTGAATTATCTTACTTCAGAAGAAGTTCTAATATCCAATAAAAATCTTTCTGGATATTTCAAGGTTTCATCATTTTTGGTGTGTTAGCTTATCTTACAGCAAATAATTTCTAAAGTATTTCCGACCTCGCCTCAAGTTAAAGTCTTCTACCACTCTTCTCCATATACTCTGAATACTTTTAAGATTTTAAAGCAGATTGTTCATGTATTTGACAAAGAAATCATAAAGTCACTCTACTCCTTCAAGATTACTCATATATTAATAAACAATACCAAAATGAAAGAGTTTCCAGAGAGTCAGTATATGATGCAAAGCTATATCAGATCATGTCAAATTGGCTTAGTAGATTTATATTAATTGAACAATGGCACTTAAAATACTGTACTAATGAATGCATCAATCATAAATATGTCGATATAATTATTGTACGATCTGATCATCCAACAATTGCTCTTGAGCTTTTAGCTACAGCAACTAAAACAGAACTCAAGAAATATTATGAACAGGTGTTCACATATGATAAGAAACTACCTGCAAATGAAATATAGGTAGTTTACTTTATCTATAAAGAAAACGCCATTTTGGTACCTTGCTGGCCAAACAATGCCCAGTTGCAGAAGGGCTTTTGAGTTGTGTTCTTTTGACACAATCTCAATTTCATGAAAGTTAATATGATTGCATATTGGTGGAATACGAACAGTAATGTGAGGCATGTTACTAATATTGAGAAATTTGTGATGCATTCCATTGTGAACATATTTATGATTGCTTACTTTCCTTATAAATAATATGTATAAGGAAAGTATACAGAAATACCGTATTTTATCGAAATTAAGCATCCCCTTTTTGCAATAATTTTGGACGAAAAGTTTGGGGTGGTGCTTAATTTCAATACCTTTTTTAAATGTAATAAAAATCAGCGGATCTTATGATATTTTTGAAATAAAAAATTTTTTTTCCTCTGATTTTAGATTTTATTAATAAATGAACTTCCGAAAAATGGTCTAATCTTTACTATAGAGCAAAAAAAGTGTTTAACACTAATTTTACATTGATTTTATTGTCAAGTTTTATGTCTTCAATATGACATGTTAAACTTTTCTTTGAATTTGAAAATTTTGAGGTTTTCATCAATTCATTGTTTGAAATCCTGGAATATTTGTTGAATTGTCTTTCTAATTTTATTATCATAAAAAAAATCCTTTTACTCTCTTCTTTCTTTTAATTTTTCTCCTTTCTTCTCTTATATAATGCTTATAACCAAATAATAATGCCAAAAAATGAAATTTTTTTTCAACAAACTTTTTCTTAGCTAAGCCACATACATGATCAGGTTTTAATTAAAGGGGTTTTTCTAATTACGCATTAATGCGAACTTTCAAATTTCATATAACCTTTCTGAAAACCTTTTTTAAAAAATGTCAAAAGTTATTAAACATCAACGTGCTTCATATTCTATTGAGCAAAAGAAAACTATTGTTACTTATGCTATTCAACATGGAAGAAATGCAGCAGGCAAACATTTTGAACTTGATCAAACTATGGTTGAGCGCTGGATTAAGGCAAGCAAAACTTAGACAAGTGAAATAAAAGATAAAAGTATGCAAGTGGGTTCTGGCCGAAAGGCTTTTTATCCTGAAGCTGAAAGGGAACTATACAATTGGGTTTTAGAACAAAGAAAAAAGGGATTAGCTGTAACATTTGTAACTTTAAGAATTTCAATGTTTGAAATTTTAAAAAGAGCAGAAATGATAATTCTTTATAGTAATTTAATAATGGAATTTAAAGCAACTACAGGTTGGTTAAATGCATTTATGAAGAGGTATAATTTATCTAGGCATCGACGTACCAAAATATCACAAAAACTTCCTGAACAATTAGAAGAAAAATTGGAAGAATTTTACAGATTTGTTATTTGTCTTAGAATCTGAAAATCTTTTGAATTG